GAGCGAAACCGACAAGGCCGCGAACCCGCGGTGTGGTGGTTAGAGCATTGGACTTCTAACTGACTAGGTCACGCGTTCGGAAGTCGGAACAGGCACCACTTGGAGTCGGATATGACTTCCTGATGACCGCTAATGAGCCAGAAATGGAAATTCCAGTCCCCCTTATCTTTGGCGGTAGTGTCAGTCTGCCTATAAGCATATACATGCAAGAAGGGAGAGTTCGTTGGTTAAAAAAATCAAGGTTTGCTCCAGAATCTTGGAGCTGGTGAAACCAACTCAGGATGACCTACGAGAGTCCAAGGGACCGGTCGCTCAATCGTACAAATTTCGACTTGAAAACGCTGTATAACCGAAGAACCCGGATCTAAACTTCAGAGTATCTCAACTTGGCTTTGGATTTGTCTGGCTGATAACGACCAGGAAGCCAAGGATGGTCATTCGAATCTTCCTTTGGGGCTACAGAATCCTTTGCGACGCCGACACAGGGTGTCTGGGCTGCTCTCAGTTTCAAAGTCCGGGCGTCATGGTCTAGGACTGGCCCTGAAGGAAACGTGCGTTATCGCATCAGTTACGACTCCCTAGCGATGAACACAAGGACTACGAAGTATAGTAGGCAAGTGATCACATGGCAACCACATCCTGTAAATACTGTGTCACTTGTGCCCTCTGTTGCCCCTCTCTGAATGGGCCCGACGGAGCACCTTACGCGTCAGGCTTATAGAGCTTAGTAACTACTGCATACGTAAATTTATTCTTCTGAGCTTGCGGGCTCTTGTAGGAGTCCATCGTCGGGGATAAACCGTCAACGAAAAGTGAGCATCTGTTATACGGGGCAGGAAACAATCAACTGTTATAGGGGAAGGGGGAGGAAACTCATTAATCACCAGTGCCGGCCAGGTATATATGCCTGCGGAGAGTAATGTTGCGGGCGCCAGCTCAGTACACCGGTTGACTAAGTTGGTATCCGAGACTCAGGCTTCAATTCGCTCTCGTCTTGTCTTGCTGCCGGCGTGAGCTATTATCCTTGCGGCTGAGAGATTAAATTCGTGGCCCGTCTCATGGGTGTGAGCCACCACGTGCAACAATACATCACCCCGTCTGACAGCTAGCTCATGTTCTTGCATGCGCAAACCAAGCATTAGTCCAATCTGTCCGGTATAAGTTCGGGGGCAGTTTAGACATGGTATGCGAAACACTACACCCGACTGCTCACTAGGACTTTATCGGTCTACCTCTGAAGATGGACTCCCGCAAGAGCCCAAAAGCTCGGAAGAATAGAATTACGATTCCGGTGATCGAAACGCCTTCGTTTTCTATACAAATACCTGGGATGCGAACCCCTGCCCCTATTGACGACTACTCCCTAGAACTAGCCTCTTCGGTTCTAGCAATCTGCATTCCATTAATACTAAACCCCGCATGCCGTCTGCGTTGGCAGGAAACTGATTTTCTTGGGTAGGGTAAATTCAATCATACTTTAAACAGCCCTGTTTGTTTTAATATTGGTTAAGCTATGTATTTTTTGAAAATTGGGACTTTATGGAGGTACCTGAAATATTTTCGAAGCAACTAGGGGGACTCTTCGTGTATTCAGGTAT